CCTTTGTACATAAATGATAAATAATACGCAAAAGTGACATGGTTCTATTATCGGAATCATTTGCTAACTGGTTTCAACAAAGAACATCACAATGATTTCCCAATCTTTGCCTCCATCTATGCAAATTGTACGTTGGATTGTCATAACCCCACAATAGATTTGCTGTTAAAAACATGGATCAGGTGTCCAAGTGTAGAAACATAAAATACGCGTGGGTCGGTGATGTTCAACCTGATGACCATGACTCCTCCATAGTGTGATTAAGTTAATAAATTAACCAGCCTTATCGTGTCCAGAGAAGCAATGGTGCAAAGGCAAAGAATAATAGGATGATCGGTTACTTATTTAGATAGTAGTCGACTCTTTTAACAACACACCAGCTCATCCCTGCTAATATTTGATCCTATCTGCTATTAAAAGATTAAAGTGGGATGCTAAAACTAATCTTAAAGCAAAACCCCCCATCCTGAAAAGCTGATGGTACCCAAGAAAGTTCAGGTTCTCGTCTTAATGAATTTGTTCTCCAATTTACATGGCCATATGGCCGTCTTTAAAGGCTTAACCACCCTATCGACCGGTTTGAAGGCTAACCAAATAATTAAACGAAATAAAGAGTTAGTACTTCCATTTGCTTTATCCACCAAACGTGCAATTGAACAGAACAAGCCAAGATTTGTATCAATCCTCTCAACGACAGCCTTGTTTAGAACTTCTAATTTCAAAATTTAATTTCTCATTATCATCTTAAAGGACAAGAAAAGCGTAGGTTCAGCAATGACATCATAACATGGTTATAATAGCTAGATATTGAGCTATTGGTCCAGCCAACCATTCTGGTTCAGAAATCCTTTCAGATTATTTGTAGAAACACATGAAAGTAGACCTAGAATACCACCAACAAGAAAGGATATAGCAGTTTTGCCTGTTTGACTTGGCCAGGTAGAGATTATTGCCAAGTGATAACCAAAATTTAACAGCTCTATTCAAGGTATGTTGCAGATTCTTGGTGTAATTTTACAAAGAATCAGGGAATACAATTCAGCTTCATGAACAGTTTGCAACTTACAACCCTCGGAAATTTCCAATGCCAAGACCAACAAAAGAAAGCATTACATATTCTACAATCAGCTATAATTAATCAGTTTAATCATCCAAGGTCTAGCATACATATATTAATCCGAATGCCAGTTACTAGTGCTTCACATTAGTGTCATTAACAAATTCTAAGCTTAGTGCACAGCTCAGTCTCAAAGGCAAATGTAGAATGGTCTATTGGAGAATGTAAATATGTAATATCCGTGTTTATTAAACATACAATAAGGTATGTAAGGAAGTTCCATGTCAAAACTGTTTCAAATGAGGAAAAAACTATGAGAAACTTATCAGTTATCATTCACCTCTAGACAACATTACTCTTACTTGAAGCTCTTGCGAACCAAGCTCAGAATCTGCTGTGCTTTTGCTACTATTTTATCTCCAGTAGTATCCCTAGAGCAAATGCATTTGGTTTAACTAAACCAACAATTGTTGCATCACACAAATACATAATCATGTTACCAACGATACAAGAATATTCTTCTTAGAATTATAGGCAAAAAGCAAGATACAAGATAAATAAATATGAAATAAAATGTTAATCAAATCCACTATATTCCTTCCATGATTTTTAACATGGTTACATGTCAAATAAGTTAGCGGAAAGATCTAAAGAACACTTGATGGAGAAGTTGAAAGCTTTCTTCTTTGTAGAAAAAAACAATCCAAGTAGACAGGAACTAGACAATCCAGGGAAAGAATCAACAAAAGAACAGCAATAAAATTTTAAAAGGAAAAGAAGTAAATGAAAGATCTACCCATTTACAGAAGATCTCAGCAAGGACATATCTGCAGTATTCGTAATCCCTTTCTCAGTTCAGATAATTTCTTTTCTCCAATCCAACAAAAGAACTCCCTAAAAATGAATTGCATTGCAAATGTAAACCAAAAACTTGGCGGAAATTTCAATTTCACGAAGAAGAAGAACAAGTCTCGTATGTTCCAGTGCCATTGACTTTCAACAGCTGCCTTCTTCAAAACCAAGAACCCAACAACACCAAACTGCATGATGATAGCAATGCCGATGAACAAAAGCCCAATCTTTTGCCCCGTATTGAGCTTGTGATTACGTGACAGTTGTGGTGGCTTGTCCCAACTACCATGATTGGTTCGATTCTGGTGTGCTCTGCAGGCGGCGATGGCCGAGAAGGCGCTGGAGGAGGCGATGGGGGAAGGTGGTGGCGGTGGCGAACATGATGATAGCAATGCCGATGACACAAAGCCCAATCTTTGCCCCGTATTGAGCTTGTGATTACGTGACAGTTGTGGTGGCTGTCCCCAACTACCATGATTGGTTCGATTCTGGTTGTGCTCTGCAGGCGGCGATGGCCGAGAAGGCGCTGGAGGAGGCGATGGGGAAGGTGGTGGTGGCGGTGGCGAAGATGGAGGAGGAGGAGAAACTGGTGTGGGTGGGGGCGATGGCGGGGGAGGAGGTGGCGGGGGTGGGGGAGGCGGAGGTGGAGGGGCGGGGGCGGACTTATATTAGACGATTGTGATTCAACAAATATGCAAAGACCGTAAAGAAAAGGCCGAAACTTAAGAGCACTAATTGTAATAATGGCGGTTCCATAATAACAAAAAAGCTAAGCAAACACGCAGAATCTTTGGGGGGGGGGGGTTCAAAATCAAGGATTTTGCTGCATTTTAGCTGGTGGGAATGACCCAAAATTGTTGCCTTCGATTATTCAGCTTTTCTTGTTAGACTTACAACATTAGCTGGATTCTTGCAGCTCTTGTTTTCTTTGAGAAATCAAGCCAATAGTATCTTCCAAATCCTTGACGTATTCAACTTCTGCTTCTCCAATTCAAAATCTATGGGGTTTTTTTATTGCAAAGGTCGAGACTTTAGGCTTTCAAAACTCTAGGGTTCAGCCTAAGAAAGAGATGCTTTTTTTAACATTGGCATCTGTGATTTCTTTCCCTGTTTCGAAGGGATTGAAATGAATCATAAAATGGGGAGGTTTTATCCATGTTTGTCTTTTTTCGTATGGAAGATTCAAAGGAGACAGGGCAGGGGAAGATTTGGGCAAAGAATATTTAATGTTTTTAGTTTTTACAAGGACAGTATTATCAATTTCTGGAAAAAAAATTCAAAAAAGAATAATAATACAATTCATAAAGGAATGGGTCAAACAGGTTGGTGACAGATTGGGAAAACATTAAAAAAAGGTCCCCTTTTTGTAATTTACTTAATTTTCTTTTCTCACCGTCTCACTCACTCACTCAAATCTCATCTTCATTTTCTTAATTATTCTTTATGGTATTTCAAAATTGAATGATTTTTTTTTATTTAGTTTGTGTTATTTAAAATTTAAAATTTTTAAGATTTTATTTTATTAAATCAATTAACTGTTGATATCATTTATTTAATTTTATTTGAGCTTTAAAATCTAAAATTCTAAAGTATAAATTTAAATTTTAACCTTCAAAACTTAAACCCTAAATAAGATATATGTTATTAAAATAAATAAAATTCTCCTAACTAAAGTTTACACAACATATGTATCATGTAATTTTTTTTTAGTTTTAGTCTTTACGGTTCCAATGATTTGCTTTGACTAATTCAGACCGACTCGTATCGCACATTTAGCTTTGGTGGGTGAATCTTCCAGTAGGAATTTTTTGCATACACAAAGACTCGAACTCGAATCCTTGCTTAAGCGAAATAATTTTTATTTTTTTTTATGAGTATATGTATTTTAAAATTTAAATTTCATTAAGATCACTACTCTCAAACTAGAAGATTTATCCAATACACTTGAATTTAAGTATTCATGAAGATTGATATTATTTAAAATAAGTATATCATTAATAACAATTAAAATAACGATTGAATGCACGAACTAATATACATCAGCGGTTAAATGAATCATTATTGATCCTAGAGGTTATAGGTTCAAGCATCAGCGATTGCAAGGGTGACTGGGTGCTCATTATCAAATGATTAAGAGTATTTATAACAGATATTATTATATAATCACCTTTGCTTAATCCAAAAAAATATTGACAGAATAATTTTTTTTTAAATTAATTAATTCAAAAGTAAATTAACCTTAAATGGAAAACAAAAAAAATTATTGGTTTTAAAATAAAATTTAAAAAATTAAGGTTGAATTACACGATTAGTCATTCAACTTCCATAAATTTTTATTTTGATCACCTTAAAATTAAGAATTGATAAGTTAAAAACTAAAATCAAATAATCTAATTGAATTGTGTTGCATGAGGTGTTGTTAACATAAAAGTTAAATTGACAACTTTTTATATTGAAAAACTCTCAAGTGAACAGAGGAGAAAAAAAAACAAAAGGCGTTTGTGAGGGCTGAAAAGAGTGTGATAACTCCTTGTAAAGTGTTAAAAAACTGAAGAACGAACAACACAACAACTTCATTTAATTCTTCCATTGGAAGAGTTGCACGGGAAATTGATTCTCATAATCGATACACTGCATCTCCCCACTAATATTAATTAGTCATTATTTAATCCAATCCAAATGCTTAGGCTACGGTACTCAAGGCAAAACCCTCCACCTTCCTTTTGCATGAAATTATAAAATCTGGAAGTAGATGTCAATTTTATTAAGTGCTTATCTGTTCTCATCGTCTATATCCAAGTGTGGGTGAAAATGGTGAAAATAGAAGAGTAGCGTGATGGTGATACCATTAACTTGGTCGATGATTTCTATTTCTCGGCCCTATATGACAATGAAGAAATATTTCCAATATCTGATGAGAAATATGCACTCGAGTTACATTTGCAAGAGGTTTTAATGTCATCTGCAATCTCCTCTGGAACTGGGTCTGGATCCATACATCATTTCCAGACATATCAGCATGTCAACTCTGTGACAACTCGTAAAGGAAAAGAGAAACAAATCGGTGAGTCATCGAACTCTCTAGCTGTTAATGGCAGTTTGTCTTATTTGCATGGATGTCAATCCATTCGAGGAGATGTTTAGAAGCAACACTTGCTCACATTTGTTCTGCAAAGATTGCGTTGGCAAATACGTCGCCGCCAAAATCCAGGAAAACATAGCAATGGTTAAATGCCCCGATATGGACTGCAATGCTGCTTTGGAACCTCAGTTTTGTCGTTCGATTGTTCCCGGAGAAGTGTTTGATCGATGGGAAAATGTTCTTTGTGAATCGATGGTCATCGCGTCCCAGAAATTCTACTGCCCTTTCAAGGATTGCTCTGCCATGTTGGTGGATGATGGAGAGTCTGATGTGGTGCGATCGGAGTGTCCGGTTTGTCACAGGCTGTTCTGTGCACAAGGCAAAGTCGTGTGGCATGCCGGAATCTCCTGCGGCTAATATCGAAATCTGGGTAAAGACGAGGGATGATATTAAGGTAATGGAGTTGGCTAAGAACAAGAAGTGGAGGAGATGTCCGAGTTGTAAGATTTATGTGGAAAAGATTGATGGGTGTTTGCACATTTCATGCAGGTTTTGTTACTTTTACCTCTTGCCTCTATATATATTAATTATATATAATATACTATTAACATATATTAGGCAATAATTTTTGAGGGTGTATTTCATATATATGGAGGGGACTTTGATATAACGTTGGAGGGTACGGTTTTTTGTTGATATGCAACGTTCTTAAGTTGTCCTCAATGTAAAAGCTGTGGTCTTGGTTTATGTTTTTATCATCTATGTTCCCCCTTGAACAATTGAAGCAAACGGGAAATTGAAACAAAATGTAACAATTTTATTAAATCTCGTTACGTTATTAATAATTCAATCTATCATCCCATATAATTACTTATTAAACTCAGTTATTTTCTAACCAAACCCTAGGGATCAAATAATATAAATATAGTTGGAAAGACATCAGCAGAAAGGTAGCTAAGATAAGTCAACCTTTTGTCATAAAATTTGAGTGAAAATTAATCTTAAATTGTTTTCATCTCCTGCTTGTCCATCCATAGGTCTTCCTTTTGTCATAAAAGTAGCAGCTAAAAGACAAACTTGCTTATGGCATATGGATGGGGAGATCCCCGCCGATTGCTATTCCATAGCCATCTAAACTTTCACACATTGTTTTTTAATTTCATTTTGTCTGTGCCCCCTAAATCAAGTCACAGGCGCACTATGCATTATATATATATCTCGTAACCTGCAGCCTTTTGCAGAGCAAAATGCCGGCTTTGTACAAACTTTACAGCATTTTCATTCCACAATCATCAAAATTCAAAGCCATCACTGCTGTCCTTTTTCATGTTGTCTGTATTCCGCAGCCTTCTGTTGTCTCAGCACTTCGTATCTTTCAAAATATGTATTTATGTGCGTATAGTTAAGTGGTAGTTGAGGTTCTTCTACACACAAAGAAGGGTAGTATAAAACAGTGATCTATATACAATCTCCCCATCTCCCTTTCTGATTATATAGCCATTTACTGGATTGAAAGAAATTTTAAGATATTGGCAGATAAAAATGGAAGAAAATGTGCCCCCTAAGAGATCAGAATCCAACAAGGAGCATGGACGTCTGAAGAAGATAGAAAATTGGATGAGGTTATTGCAGTTCATGGTGCTAGAAGGTGGAGGACAATTGCAAAACATAGCAGGTAGTCACTAAGTAAATTAATCATATAGGCATATATAGGTTTGGTTTTTTCATTCTTTTTTTTTTGTAGGTTTAAATAGTGTGGCAAAAGTTGCAGGCTGCGATGGATGAATTATCTTAGGCCTACATCAAGAGAGGAAATGTAACAGACCAAGAAGAGGACTTGATACTTAGGCTTCATAAACTCCTTGGAAACAGGTTCATTAATTTGGATGAGTCTTGTTGCAATATCTTCCAAAGTTGATTATAAATGATCATTTTCCATTATGCAGGTGGTCTTTGATTGCAGGGAGATTACCGGGAAGAACAGATAATGAGATCAAGAACTACTGGAATTCATTTGAGCAAGAAATGAACCAGAACGAGAAACAAAGTTCAGGTTCGGCAAGACAAGGCTGCAAAACTCAAAGAGATTAGCGGAGAATGACAAAGAAGAAGCGAGAGAAGAGAACAACATCTGCCGGATGTGAGTATCCGAATATCGGCTTGATGGATGAGTTCTTTGATTTCTCCAACGAGGACACCCGCAACTTGGAGTGGGTGAGCAGATTTCTCCAAGTTGATGAGGGCTTTAACTGAAACTTTTATGGAACGGCAAGAACTTTGTTTTTATCCCCTATGATTATGATTCGTGAATGAGATGCAATCCATGTTGATCTGTAAAATCTTGTTATCCGTCAATGAATTTGGCAATGGCAGGGTTCAGGTATTGTTTTGTCAGCTACATATATCCTAGTTGCTTAAATAGTGAAACTACAGCACAAACTCTCGTGATTGGTATGACAATTGAGAATACAGTAAAACACAACTATATGCATATTGTAGTCTTTGGACTATAGTCCCTGAAAGGCTATAAAGAAAAGATAATCTTTCTTAAACATGGTGGGAAAGTTAAGGAAAAAGTGGGGGGGGGGGGGGGAGTGAAAAAGACCTGTCGTATTAATCTTATGATACAAAGGGTTACTAGAAGTGATATTCCCCCACTTTTATTGGGGGCAGATTAAGTGCAAGATCAGTACATATATAACGTCTGGAAAGAAGCAGTCCCCTGCGGAGACTTAACCGTGATGTAGTGGAAAATCATTGCCCTATGCATGCAGTCTTCAAGGAGAATCGGTATCCATTTTTTAGGACCCCCTTTCTTCACCTTTTTCACTTTGTCACTTCTGGGTCAAGCTAAGCTTGTTCGTTAAGCAAACGAAGTTCGGATACAAGTTGGGACAACAAAAAGATTAAGTATAAAGTGTGAAAAAGTGAAAATTCAGGGACCAAATGATAGTTAAGCCAAGTTGGAATTCAGAAAAACAGCGGATTGTGTTGTTGTATATTTCACTTTCACGCATATAAAGCCATGAAGACGGCATGTCGGCCCATATCTGACCGGTAGCTAGAACGGTCGGTGTCGCATTAGATGCTTCCCGGGCTCTCTACTGAGCCTTAATTTTTATAGCTAAACCATATCTGTTAACACTACCAAAATGGTCACTCCAGATTTTAACTGCTAATGTTCAGTTTTTAGGGTACTAATATTTTAATCACCTAACTGCAAACCCAAGGCCGGTTCTGACTTTTTCTTGGCCCGGGGAAAAATTAAAAATTGGGCCCTAATTAAAGATATTAAAAAATATACAATATAAAATTTAAATTAATTTTTATTAAAGTAAATAAATATTAATTCATTACAATATCAAAAATGTCAAAAACATATTTAAGCATATAAATACTTATAAAAAATATTGTCTTCGAGCATTTCTTGATGCAAAATCATTGATGATAGTGTCAACATCAATGTTTTCCAACATATTTTCTCAATATATATAGCTAGTCCATTCAATCTTTCTTGTGACATTGTTGACCTCAAGTAATTCTTCAATAATTTCAGCTTTGAGAAACTTCTTTCTGCGGATGCTACCGTTACCGGCAGTGTTAATAAGATTCGATAAGCAATTGAAACATTAGGATAACAATCTCTAGCTTTAACAAACTCGAACTTCAATCGCTAACATAAATACATTTGGCAAAGTCAATTCAACACTTTCATTCAGAAAAAAAATCATCTGCATCAACATCCGACAAATTATTATGAGAAAAAAATAATCTTAAAATATCTACTAGCTTCGAACCCCTTATTTCTATAGTTTTCAAAATATGAAATTATACCTTCCAACTCCTTTATTGTAGTATCAATGCACATTGATTTAGATTGTAATTTCTTACTTACAGTGTTGATAGCAAATAAAATATACCAGATAACCATCCAAGTAAGAATTCAAAACTTTGAAGGGCACTAGCTAAACTTTCTGTTTCACTTTTTGCTTTTGCATCATTACCACAATATTCATATAATTGTAACAAAGCTAACCTATTTTAGGAGCATGACTTTAATAGCTTTGACACTTTTAATTCGACTTTCCCATCGAGTATCAGATAAATATTTCACAGTTTTCGGAACATTATCACATAAAATTTTCCACCTTTTGGTAGAACTTGCGAACAATGAATATATACGTTGCACAATCCCAAAAAAAAGAAATAATTTAACAAGAATGTGCCATATCAGAAAGAGAAAGATTAAGATTATGACAAGTGCATGGCATATATAAGCTATAGGATTTATTTCAAGTAATCTCTTTTGAACACCTTGGTGTTTTCCTTTCATAATAGAACCATTGTCATATCCTTGGTCCCTCACATCATCAGTTCAACTCTCTAGAGATTGCAATGTATTTACTAATTCATTGAAAAGCCCCAATCTAGATGCATCATCCACTTTCAAGAACTCTAAAAAGTACTCTTCTTTTTATTTTGTTGTTTGACATATTTACGCATCGCACTATTAGAGTCATTTGTTCTTGATGACTTACATCAGGGGTACAGTCAGAATAACAAAGAAATACTTTGCCTTAAGGATGATCTTTAAATAGAAGTTTTAATACTATGGGCCAAGAGAGAGATAGTTCATTTTGAATGATATGACCAAGATAATGATAATGAATATTTCATTTTGAATAGTTCTAATATGGTCTTGCATAGGCAAATCAAATTCAGCAATCATTTCAATTAATCCTAAAAAGTTTCCATTATTCTCATCGTAAATTTTCTAACTAGATCCTTGAAAGCTAAATATTTTTAGCAAGACATTTTACAACACAAACTATTCTTATTAAAACTTGCCTCCAACGTTCTTTCTCTTTTGAAATTCCTTGTTGTAAATCTTTATCAAGTGTTTGATTAGTTTTTAATCTCACTCTTAATTCACTCCAAATATTCATGTTAGCCATATGCTCAATACTATTTTCATGTTGTTCGAGTCTCTCACTAAGATGCTTCCAATCATTTAATCCATCATTTGCTAAATAACTCTTATTGTTTGCTTTGTAAACAATTTACAACAAAAACAATAAACTTTGTCCACATGTTTAGAATAGACCAACCATTTTCTATTGCTAATCTCTCCATTACTCAACTTTTTAGAAAAATAAGCATATGAAAAATGTCTAGAATTGGCTAAGGGAAATTTCAAATTCAATTCTCTTATAGGCCCCTTTCAACTAAAATATCTCTAGATTTATTATCAAGATTACCCCAATTTCTAGGATCATAAATGTCCACAGCAGGACTAAGTGCTGATCAATCCCAACATCTTCAACATTAGACTCATTTTGTGCATGATTATGGACATTTCAATAGAAATGTCACCATCTATGATTAGGATATCATGGTAATTTGCATCAGTAACACCT